ATGTTAAGAACTTTCGGGATGTACTTAAAATCGGATGGCTTCCAATCAATGAGAGAAGAGATTTGAACCTCCTGAAATCATGCCTTAAAGCTTTGCATAACACTGAGACTTGGCCAGATTATCTTATAGCGGAGCGCTCGCGCGCGCGAAGCGCAGCACCATGGGTAACAAAATTTGGTAAACTATCCATCCGAGAAAATTTGGTTATGACGTAGCGTACGCCCGCCCACCCGTACGAACACTTCATTTACGCCGATGTCAAATGTCACAATAGATCTTGCACTTGACTAGCCTTTCAGCCGCCTTTCAGTTATGTAAGCCATTCGTATTAGTACGATTAGATTGACAGCTGTCAAAATGAGACATCCGCTGACAATTATCACATGACCATCTCGCGGGCTCAGATGAAAGACTAGTCGTTTTGCCCCTACATATAAGCTGATATAATATGTCACACTTACCCATTCAACAGAAAAACGAAACTACGCCGGGCAAGGCTGTCAGTTGGCTGACAGTCGTTTAAAGTTATATTGGCAATCCAAATTAAGGTCAATTGACAGCTGTCAAATGGGACATGTGCAGACCACTATCAGAAAACTAATAACGTGGGCCCAGGTTCGCTCAGGTACACGATCTGGCATTTTCCACTACAAGCCGGACGGATATGTCGTACTCACACTCGTAGTCTGTTAATTCGAATATTCGCCATTCTAATGAAGGTTAATTGACAGCTGTCAAACTAGAGTATACGCTGACCATTATGACCTGAGTGTATCGCGGGCTCATTTTTCTATCCATTGAGTTCACGTAGTGTTTAAAGTGTTGCGCTGATATTTTATTTGATCACGGGCTCAATTGGAAGTCCCATAGCTTAGAAAATCTATCCATCCTAGAAAATTCGGCAATCACGTGACCGTACACCGACCACCCCACCCTCCGTCCGGCCGCACCACAGGCATACCAATGTTTAATCTCACACTTTCTAGCTAGTTTGGAAGCCTGCAACCTGATATTGTACATCCATGTTTTGATTAACTGACAGCTGTCAAAATAGTGTTTCTGCTGACCAGTATCGCCTGACCGTATCGCGGGCTCAGGTATCGACCCACTGAGTTCGAGTGTTTTTTGGAAGGTATCCGCTGACAACTTGCTACTTTTCAAATGATCGCAGGCTCAAGTTCAATTTTTTAAAATGCATATGAAATAAGTCGTGTTCATGAGCCGCATTTTTAAAATTTTGATTTCAAACTGACTTCGGACGTGAAAATTCAACCGGCTTTTACATGCAGGGAAGGCAATCGCTTTTGACTTTTCTCACTGTCACGCGTTTATCACGCTCTACGTCCAACTTTTATGTTCTGATTGGTCAAAATTTGACAGGTGAGTTCATGCGGAAAATTATGCACCGTAGCTGACAGAGTTTTGTATCATCTTGTGATGTTTTAAACTGTCTTTTTCTACTTGGTGTACAAAATAAAATACAGCTGCCATCAAGATTGTTCTGTAATTCATGGCTGGTTTGTTTATTGCGCTTTATGCCGATACCCTAAAAGTTAGTTCGGGAGCTCTCATTGAAGTCACGCTATTGTTCCGCTACAGTACCACAGACAGAGAAGCCACTCGAGTGTTGGCATTATTTGGCCACTTGTCTGAGTGGCTGTTTAATTGATTATAAAACAGACGCATTAGTTCACAACAATAATACTAAATAATCTATATTATTTTCAGCAAAGGTGAGGCAAGAATTTCGCCAGAAGCCACAAAAATGTGGCAGCCCCACCAAAACGACAATGAGAGCTCACGGAATAAATAATCATCGAGTAGGCACATGTGCCACGTGGAATATAATTTGAGAAACGTCAGAAACGCAGAAAAGCCATAGCAGCCACCAGAGTGACCTATAGCAAGTTTAAACGCGTTGAAGCTTACTGTATAATACATAATGTTGTAGTGAATATGCATTTATCTTTGCGAGGACCTTTGTATCTCTCTGTTACCCATGTAGCATAAAATGACATGAAATATAGAGCAAAAGCAGCCGCATGTCTCACCTTTGGCTCCAACGGGGGAAAGAGTAAAATTGCTGAACGAAAAGTTGTGGAAAAGTACAATTGAGGGGTCCAATGGCAGCCCATGACTGACCCACGGAGCCCATCAGATGGTGTATTATAACTGTAAGATTCTTAGCATGTAGTCATCCAAAGATAACCGGGAACGACAAAAAACAGATGGCAGCCACATGTCTGACCCATCACTGATTCACGAAACCTATCTTAGCGTAATATCAGCCTTATAGTATAATAATAATTATTAGTAAGGGCAGAACAATTGGCAGCCGCATGTCTGACCCATTTGTTCCCCCGCGACAGAACACTACCGGATGGTGCGTGACCTACATACTATTAATTTGCATGTAAGCTTTCAGAGCGAATGTACGACTTAAAAGCATCGGATTTCCAGCGACCGAGAGTGCGAATTTGAGCGTCCGAGAAACCTTTATCGGCAGCATGAGACGCGGCACCAATGCGAAAGCTATGTCCCTTGTATCTCTTAGTATCGAGGCCACAAAAAGTTAGGCAGCGAGAAAGTTCGGTGTTAAACTGATACACTGTGATGGGCTCGAGGTTCTGATGGCAGAACAGCGGGCCCGGTTGCACTCCGCGAAGTTGACAATAATTGATAAGGCCTTGAACGGGACAGAAAGGCATCGCAGCCTCACGTTCTATAAGAATTTCAAATGGTTTCCTTGACGTATTGTGCTTGAGGTCGGTAATCGTTAGCTTAATCATATAGGGTGTGCCGTCGCTCATAAGAAAAGTTGCGAGTTCTCCGATGCGAAAGAAACCATAAAAGGCCAACAAAAACATCGCGGAATAAAGACAACGTTGAAAAGCCGAAGAGATGGTCTGGCGGAGAGAGCGGAGAAGCTCGTGTAAAACAGGTCTAGTGATGGGTAAGCGAACATCAGCAGCACGTTGGCGGCTCAGGGCCGTTAACAACTTTTGAATCAGAAATGACTTTGTAGGGTCAGGACGTCCCATTAATTTATGGACATAACTGAGAGCGGACAAATAAGAGGTTATCGTAGACGGGGCGAGTTGTTTGGCCGAGAGATAAGAGATAAATAATGCCACCTTTGTATATGGTAATGGAAGGGTCGGTGTGGTCGTCCCAAAGAAACGTCCGTGAAATTCTGAAAAAATGAGCCACGCTCTACGGTACGAGTTGCGAGAGCCAGTAGCCAAGGCCGAGCCTAACAAGTCTCTCAAGTGAGAGACCAACTCTCCGGCTGTAGGTTCGTTGGTACTGCTGTTGGAAATTCGTCCGCCTCCGGCGAGAGTTCATAGAATTTCTCCACCTGTCAACGGGAGATGCAATCGGCACGACTATTCTGTAAGCCTGGGACGTGGCTAGCTCGAAATAATATGTTATACTTTAAGCAGCTAAGTACGAGGTCACGTATAAGAATCATGACCTGTTTATGTTTGGACGTTTGTTTGTTTATAATATCAACAAGGGCCGCATTGTCAGTGAAAAATAAGACGCAACTGTTTGCCATGGTGGCCCCCCAAATATGGACCGCGAGAGTAATAGGAAAAAGCTCTAGAAAACTTATATTAAGGCTGTGCCATGCTATAGGAAAAGGACCATAAAACCAATGCTTTCCAAATATCGCGCCGTACCCCTTTGATGCCGCGGCATCTGTATATAATTCGAGAGTCGATGAAGTGGCCCATCGCTCTGATAGAAAAAACGCTCGGCCGTTAAAATTATCTAAAAACTGTAACCACATTCGGATGTCATTTTTAGCTTCGGTGTTGAAACGGATGTGATGGTGGGGGCGTGTGACGCCTTCGGTAAGATCGATTAGTCGACGCAAAAAGGCGCGTCCTGGAGTGACCACGGAACAACAGAAGTTTAATAGGCCAATTAAAGACTGTAGTTCGCGCAATGTGACCGATCTTTTCTGCGCAAATTGGTGGAGCAGGGCGCGACATTTGTGAATCTTTTCTGAAGGCAACCTGGCTTCTTGCCTTACAGAATCTAATTCAATTCCCGCAAACTGAAGAGTGGTGAGGGGACCTAACGTTTTCTCATGTGCAATAGGCACACCGAGGAAGTCACACATACTCAAAAAATTAGAAAGATCGGCTTTGCATTTATCATGACTATGCGCGATAAATAAAAAGTCGTCTAAGATATGCAAGACCGCAGACACCTTCAAGTGGTGGACTGCTAGCCACTCTAAGGAAGTACTAAATTTTTCAAAAATAGCACAACTCGATTTTAATCCCATAGCTAAACACCTGTCAAAATAATACTGACTGTCCCATTTTATGCCGAGTAGAGGATAGTCAAGAGGACTCACTGGGATGATCCTGAAAGCTGACTTAATATCTGTTTTTGCTAAGTAAGAACCCGTCCCCAGTCGTTGAAGAATTTTAACAGCATCATTAATCGTGGCATATTGTACGGAAGAGCAGTCATCCGGAATGCTATCGTTAATAGATAAGCCTTTGGGATATGACAGGTGGTGGATTAGCCTAAACTCATTTGGGACCTTTTTGGGAACTATGCCAACGGGCGATGTACGAAAAACAGGAAAGGGTGCGGTGTCAAAAGGTCCCGCAATTCTTCCAGCATCAAGTTCTTTAGATAGTTTCGAAAATAGAATGTCCGGATTTTGCAGAGCACTTTTTAAATTTGGGGCCTCAAATGAGGTAATTTCTCCTATGAAATTAATTCGAAAACCGAAACGGAAACCGTTGATTAAATATTGTTTCAGGGTTTGGTCGTATCCCGAGAGGAGCTGTTCAAACCGGTCCACTCTTACAGGAGTTACTAGGGAATTGCCCTGAAGGCTGAGCTGAAATTGATGCTCCGGACTTAACAGGATTTGTTCGCAGATGGGAGTTTTGGTTTTGGCACTGGGTGGCGGGATGTTTCGCACCGCACTTGAAGCACACGTGCTCGTATTGGCAACCTCGGCAGTGCCTCCCTGAATGAAATGACCAACAGGCTCCCCTAGGAAAGGGGGGAGTGGAGGTTCGAAATCGCCCCCGCGGGGTTGTTCTATCACTACCGGTGAAAGATTGTGATTTGACCCGAAAATTAGTCATGGCACGTAGCCATAGCTCCCAATGAATTTGATCCCACGGGTAAAATTCAGGGGACGATTGTCGCAAATAACGAAACTGCTCATCATAGAAAATCCAGTCCCCAGACTTATTAGCAAGGTCACGCACCACTTCGCAATATTTCATTAGCTTAGGGGCATCCTGGGAACAGTTTACGGAATAAATGGATACAAATGTGTTAAAAGCGGTGAGCCACTGGCTGATATTAGTGACCTTTTTCGGTGTATGATAAGGCTCGAGAGTTAACTGTGGTTGATTTACGGCACCCCCACTGGAAACCATGGAAAGAGCAAACTTTTCTCGAGGGGGTGCGACAGAGAGCAGTGCCCCAAAGTCAATATATTCATTTGCCCAGATTTTCGCTTTGATTTTAGCGCTAACACGAGAACCTAGATTAACAGCTATGCTAGAGAAGGGGTGGCTAGGCTGATCGCTAACCCCAAGCAATTCTGGTAGGGGTGCCTGTTCAATTGTACCTGTTGTATATGAGAGGACTTCGTTTTGCACAACCTGCTCTACTGCGGCTGACGGCGTTGGCGTTGGCATTACCGTACTGGAGACGGTGGCTTGATGCGCAGCCATTGCATGCTTTACGGCCTGTGCGACGGCCACGGAAATAGTACTTGTGAGAGCCCGCACGTCCAGCTGCATCGCTCCCTGTCCTCCTTGTATTTCTCTTCCTTGTCCAGTTTGCTGCTGAGGCATCGGAGGATTCTCCACAACCGATGAAGGTCCGGCCTCAGAGAAGTCTGTTCGTAGCCGTTTCGAGCGCCTGGCTTGTGGGGCGGTGGTACGCTTCGCAGGAGGCATTTTTCAGTGATAAAAAAACTAACTATAAGTGATAGATGTGATAGGCAGTGAAGCAAGTGTTAGAAACAAGGTTTAATGCCAAATAAATTAGAAAAAGGGGGTCATCAGAGGAGCCGATCCAAAGCGGGTATTTGAATTTGCGTAATGACTCGAGTGCAAAATTGACACGAAAAAATAGTGAGGGTTATACCTCATAAGTAGTAACGAAAAAAGATACCCATTTCCACAACACAATAACATTAGAGCATTGACAGTATACCGAGTGCATTGGACACACCCACATATGCAGGCGGTCAAAATGGGTTGTACACTCATAACATGGTAACTGCAAGCAAACAAACATACATACCAAAGCCGGTAATAGGAAGGCACACAGTGCACTTCTAAGGTTTCAGAAACCACAAAATTTGGCCATAAGTAGTCAGCAAAATGCGGCAAATAATTGCCGGAAATCAAACAGAACAACCAGCTAAACCACAAGGCGATAACCCACGCGGCTTGGTTTGAAATAAAAACCAGATAAGTAAATAGGAAATGGGCAAGTGAAAATGGTTACGAAAACTAGTTGGGCTGCTCGCCATAACGTGCCCAGGAATGCAAAGACTTTAAAACGGCCCCCTATTAAGATGAACACCATCACGAGCGAAATATCTCTGCGAAGTATTCCAAAAACCTCTGTGACCCCAAAAAAAGCAATAGGGAATTGGCTCTAGAAGGACCTTCAGATATTTCGTGAGGGCTTTAACACGTGCGTTAAAGGCAGCATCATTTTCGCGAATCAACGTTTGGCAAACACAAATTTGTCGCACACTGTGCTCTTCGTACAGAATACCTACTAAGTCTTCGATTGCCGAGGCTGCTACTAAGGGATCTAGGTGGGAAAGATCATTAGTTCCCAACTGTAGTATCACGATATGGGGAGCAAACGACTCCACCACGTGGAGATCACAGCGAATAGTTTTTTCAACTGTTCGACCTCCTACACCATGCCATTTAAACTGGGCGGGCTCGTGTATCATAAAACGATGATCAAGATGAGTACTATCAGTAATAAAGCTATTTAAACGGCGAATAAAAGAGTGCCCGAGAATTAACACACGAGGCTCACCCATCTCAATTTATGTTAAAAAACTGAATATAGAATGTACGAGAAAAATAAAAAAGAAAAAGAAATGGCACGCTAGGTGCAAAATCGCTAAGTTGATTACAGGGATAAATGTTATAGAGATGTTAAAATATAATAGGACTTGCCTGACAAAAAATTTTTTCCGCAGAGATGTAATCGCCGTGATGGTGAAAGTAAGAGGGGACGAACGCGGGAATGCATGCTCCTTTACACGAACACTCCCTCAGGGCGATAGAAATGATTGGCTCTTGAAAGAGAGGTTAGATTGATGTGAGTCGGAAGACCAACCATGTAGACCACAAAGGCATATTGTATCGACATAAATAACATTATGCCCTAACATAATGTTTGGTTTTATGTTGACAAATGCACTGCTTGTCAAAGTCATTGGAAATCCGATTTCGAATGGCATCGTTTTCAAGAATGAGCTTACTCACTTGCCCTTGCTTGAGACGCAAGAGGGTTGAAAAGTCTCCAGCGATTCTGGAACACTTGATGACCTTCAGAAGCAGCATCTCGACTGGTAAGCCTGAGCAATTATTGTCTTTGATGTGTTTTTTTTTTCGGTTTCCTGAAGTCGAGCGTATGGTTTATGCTGCTTACGTTTATACACGAGGAATGATCTAATCTACAATAGTATCAGGTTTAAAAAGCCTTTAGACATTTTTTGACCGCAAATTCAAAGAAAAGGTTCCGAAGATTATTTAGTTATGATTTTGGCTGTAAACAGAAAGCTCTGAGCGATTTTCTTGCCTCGAGTTCATCTTGAAAAAGAGCAAACACCGGGAAGCCGGCTTAAAACATAAATAAGCTTATGCTTACCTGACTCATGATTTTCAGAGACATTTTACTCTCAATACTTCGCTTCGTGAATGAAAATTATTGTCTCTGTACACGTTTCACCGAATTATATTTATTTTGTTGATTTTTAGTAGTTCCTCCCGCAATTTTTATCGCTGCACCGGTTGTTTCCTGAGTTGAACATAAACATCGCATGCAGGAATACTCAAAACGCTGCGCGTAAATATCACTCGCTTTTAAAGATTACACATAACAAAACCATACACAGTTTAATAAATAAAGGGAAATAAAACCTAAACATAACAATTTCTCTATCATGTTGAAGCGTAAATGGTAACTCTATTTTCGCACTGCAAATTTGGTGCCTGTCAAAAGTGAGAACCCGTCCGGCTGGCCGAAAAGGTGATTTTGGGAATTTTTTTATCGTTTTCACTAAAAGCCCATAATTATTACCCTGCATATCACATAGGACCAGATTTTTCTAACTGGAAAGTCCCGCATTATGGAATTCTTTTCATGAAAACGTTTTATAATTCAATGCTATAATTTTTTGTGCAAAGGAAGCGCGTGCTTTGATCGTCGTGGATATTGAATGAGTGCAAATTGTATTGCAAAATTGGGAAAAACTGCAGAATTATAGGTTTAAATAGGGCAAAAAAAAACAACAATTGCTGTCCAAGCTCTGTATGATAAAAAAAGGGCCTCATAGTACTGTTTACCTGAGACGTGATGAGCAAAAGTATGTTTAAAAGGCTGGTTTACACGCCACCAGATTCGTCGCCAAGATTTACTTGTAAACTAAACTTGTCGAACACAAAAAATCCGGCCTGATTTTTTATTTTGGCCTCCCTTTTAGACAGAGGAATGCAACGTGTAAATTGGCTGCCACCAAGGACTATCGCGGCTCGTGTGTTTCTTAAAATTATATTTCGGGGTTGTCCAGTTATCCATAGTCTCTCTAACGGAGCAGTGTTGGAGAGACTGGTTAATGCCGCATTATGATGCAACAACTAATTCAACTACAATACACGAATAGGTCTATTTGTTTTCCAGGCCTAATCTACTGTGATCGAACATGATTGCTATTTTTGGGTGTACAAATAAGACTATCAACTCGATGTAAAATTTGTTTCACTCTTAGACTGTCAAATTATTTTTCTCTAAAATCACTTAGCCTTAATTTGCCTCAAAAGTCACATGAAAGTGCCCTCATCTGTGGATTACAAGTTTATTGTTTGATTTAAATTATGAATTTATTAACGGGAGCTTCGCTTTTAGCCTTGGCTAAATCTATATATTAATAATAAAACAGGAATGCCCCAAGGAGCTGCGCTCAAGCAATTGAATTAGATTAGTAGTCCTGACTGAAAACGGCGCTTTCCAAGATAATGAGTCGAAGCTATTTAATAATCTACCAGCATCTATTAGAAACTGTAAAGATTCCAGAGCCTTTTTAAGTCTTTCAAGGAATTTTTTAAGAAACAGAATACAGAGCGATTAGTCAATGTAATTGGATTCTGTTAATCCTGCCTCTACTGCACAATTTGTAAATAACTTAATTCGATTTATTTTGTAATTGTAATTAATGTAATTTAACAGGGAAGAGCCACCCAGTGGATCTGTTAATAAATTATTATTATTATTATTATTATTATAACAACCATGTCATCGAGGATACACTGGGTGCCTGGTATTCCCTGTAATACCTGGTCTATGGCACTTTGCCAAATTGCTGGACACGAAGAAATGCCAAAAACTAAGCGATTGTATTGGAAGAGGCCCTTGTGTGTATTGATCGTGAGGAATTTCTTGGATTCCTCTGTTACTTCCATCTGGTGATAAGCTTGGCGCAGGTCAAGTTTGTTAAAATGCTTACCCCCAGCCAAATTCCCCAAAATATCCTATATGTGTGGCAGAGGATACTGTTCTGCAAGAAGTACTGGATTGACTGAAACCTTGAAGTCACCACATACACGCACTGATCCGTTTCGCTTAACTACTGTGACAGTCGGAGTAGCCCATTCACTGTACTCTACCTTAGAAAGAATACCGTCCTTCTCTAAACGTGTCAATTCTGCTTCTACCTTTGGGCGGAGTGCATATGGAACTTGACGTGGCTTATGAAAGCTAGGCTGGCAGCCCTCCTCTACCTTCAAATCAGCCTTGTGGTTTTTAAGTGTGCTCACACCCTCAGAAAATATGGACTCGTACTGCTGCAACAACTGATCCACTTTGCGTTGCATGAGCCCTTCCGGAGTCTTGCTAAGCTTAAGGTCTTTGGTTTCACTCCAGTTCAGCTGAATTTTGGAGAGCCAGTCACGCCCAAACAATGCTGGCCGCGGTGTCTCAACTACTTGTAGGGTTAGCTTCTTTTCCTGGCCAATGAACTTAACATTACACTTCATCTCTCCCTTAGGTGTGATTTTCTGCCCAGCGTAGGTTTTAAGCGTTACAAGGCCCTTTGCAAGTTTCACATGACCAAAATGTTCCTTATACTGTTTGTATGGGAGTACAGACGCAGCTGAACCTGTGTCTTGTTCCATCTTGACCACCCTTCCCTGTACTTCGGGGCTGACCCATATGACATGATCCTTATCGCTCACGTTATTAACCTCAAGGGATCCCAAATAATCATCGCTGTCCCCGTCATCACTGTTCACATAATTTAATGGGGGTTGGGCAGCTTGTGTCTCCCTTTTCTTGGACTTACAAGCCCTCACAATATGGCCGGTCTTGTTACCGTGGTGACTTTTTTCCTTTTTGAACGGACGACTTTTATCATCATGATTTCCCAAACAGCGGTAGCAACTTTGATCACCCGGCTCTATAGGGGATGGGGAACCCTTTTAATTCTCAGGAGGCTTAACTTCCTTCTTAGGTTTAGGCTTCTTGCTTGGCCTTGACTTGGCTAACAAATCCACTGGGTTTGACTCTTTACTGCCCCCGGAAGAGCTTCAACATCCTTGTAAGATTGCTCAATAGCGATGCACTTCACTACAGCAATGTCAAATGTTTGAGTTTCAAGAGCTCTGACATCATTCTCTTACATGTATTTCCAATACCCAAAACCTTT